CTTTCTTTTTTCAGAGTTTGAGGCTGCTCGGAAAAGAGCCAAAAAGGCCAAGCAAGCCTTCGAGCAGATCAAGAAGGAAAGATTTGATCGCTTCAATAACTGTTTTGAGTCCGTGTCCACCAATATCGATGAGATCTACAAGGCTCTGTCACGCAACAGTAGTGCTCAGGTATGTTTTTAGAGACTTGCCACATTACACGTCATTAACTATGTCTAATGCCATGACAGGAAGCATTTATGTGTGGAATTTGGTACATGGTAAATTTTATATATATCCATTTGTGCATGTGCCCAAGTTGTGTTTACCAATCAGCGTATGTTTCTTCTTTAGGCATTTTTAGGTCCAGAGAACCCAGAGGAGCCATATTTGGATGGTATCAATTATAACTGTGTGGCCCCAGGCAAGAGGTTCAGACCAATGGACAACTTGTCAGGAGGAGAGAAAACTGTTGCCGCCCTGGCTCTGCTCTTCGCTATTCACAGGTGAAACAACGGAGACGTGCAGAGGAATTTTTAATACACGTATAACTTGACAGAAGTTGACTGTTTACATCTTTCTTGCTTCTCCGTAGCTACAAACCCGCCCCCTTCTTTGTGCTGGATGAGATTGACGCAGCTCTGGACAACACTAATATTGGCAAGGTCTGTTTAGAGAATAAATGTTGATATAATGAGCTGTCTGTTTGTTTTTAAATGAATATTTCTTGTGATTTTAGTGCATTAGCCTTAATGCTTTCTCTTTGTACCTTCAAGGTGGCCAACTACATCAAAGACCAGTCAATGGAGAACTTCCAGGCCATTGTCATTTCTCTGAAGGAGGAATTCTACACCAAGGCAGACTCTCTCATAGGTGTTTATCCAGAGGTGAGTCTTCTTCTTTTTTTTGAATTAGAGACGGATAAAATCCCCAAAGAGCAGATCAGCTTAGATCCAAATGAGTACTACTTGAAGCACCACTTCAAAAGTGCAGCTGTGTAGTTTCAGCATTGTTTTAAGACAAGAACGCTACCATAACAAAACCACAACAAAAAAGAAGCCATAATAACTGAATAAAAGTAGATAAAGATCAAGCATATGCATTGCTTCGTGATATTAAATTTAGCCCATAAAATAATGCATCTCATTATGTGTCATATAAGGTTATGTTATAGATAAATCTTTATGGTTTGTTAAGAAAATGTATCATTTTTCATATAAACTCTACTCTAGCACTCACAATACGCCAGTGTCACGAGACTGAGACATGTATTGACTGCACCACATGTCTCCTGCTGAGCGTAATGGCTGTTGAATCTATTCGCAAAGCAAAGAAGGAATTTACCCAGGATTCACCAGTATGAGCTAATGTCTGCAACAGAAACTCCTAATCAAAGAGTCTCTGGATACAGTTATGTATTGACGGTCACAGTTTCTGAGTGGGTGGCTCATCTGTATCTCCAGCACGCAGGGTCATTAACCTGTTATGACCCGAGTATCACACAGGCTGCGTTTGTGATTTCGCCTTTAAAATGATAAAATAATTCTCATCTTTCAGGAACCATTTGAACTTTCTTAAACTAGTGGAGGATTTGCAGTAATGTGAAGAGCACATGGTAAAATCCGTCTGTTTAGACTGTGAATGCTTTGTGTTACCACGATACACCAAATATCCCCGTGAAGCCCGTCTTCTCTTCTTTCTGAAACCGCTCGGAAAAAAACAAACAAACAAATAAACAGAAAAAGTTCTGCTTCTCTGCAGGATATTCATTGCACATTGTACTTCCTAATATTGTATTGTGACCTGTGACGTGTTTTAAGCTAAGCAAAGTGTTGACCCAACCGGCGAGATGCATTTCTGAGTATTATGCATATAAAGCTTTATGCAAAATACTAAAATATAGCCTTGAGATGGCTGAACTTTCAGTAGTCAGGCTGTTTTTAGACATTAAACTTCTGAACCTGGAGCTGAGACAGCAATACAATGGAGTTCATTAGATTCATATAACACTTTATATTCTTCATTTACAGACATGCAATAACATTCTCATCATAAACCACATGCAGTGTATCTAAGAATTAAAACATCCTGTTTGATATTTGGCCAATAAAACCTCAGCATCTTGAGCTGTGAAGTCAACGCTGATTCGGAAACAATTAACTAATTTTCTTTTTTTCTTCCATCAACAGCAAGGAGACTGCGTCATAAGCAAAGTGCTAACCTTTGACCTCTCGCAATATCCTGATGCCAACCCAAATCCAAACGAGTAAGACCTGCTCTCCCAGCACTGGTATTTTGTGAAGTTGGATGTTTCCATGGTTACTTTTTCTGGATTGCTCATTGTAACCTTGTAGTCACAGATGATGTATCCATTAGGTCTCACATGTTATTTCCTTTAAAAAAAACAAACAAAAACATTAGAGTAGTGACTTATTGAGCTTCAGTTGTTTTATTTTCTTTATAGACCGTAATGACCAGGATGTATGTACATTTATAAAATCCAGTCCTTTATCAGTTTTCCAATATAATTGTGTGGGGTGCTTTTTAAGAAGCTGTAGAATTTGTATCATGTGGTTAAAGTGTCTCGAACATCCCTAAAGCCAATTTTTGTTTTCATAACTTTTATACTGTTCATGGCCGTCTTTCCAGCTGTGTGCTTTAAAGCTCTTGCCCGTTTCCTCTTCTCTGTACTTAACTGCAATTTCATATGTGCGCCTATGTTTGTTTGTTTTTTAAAGCTTAACGAGGAATCTGTTGTTACAGTATGATGGATACATTCCCATGTGCAAAAGCTAAATAAAACCTGCAGTTAGCAGCAGCAGCTGGCAGAGCTGTTATGAGATCATGGAACTGAGGCTATTACTGCTCTGCTTTTTTATTCCCTGAGTAATATTCTGAATCAACTTTGGTAGGCAGAAAACTCAGCATGAGTCCATGCTGAAACTGCTCGGCCTGTTTTATCGATTGCTTTGCTTCAATAAATTTTGAATTATTTAAACTCATTTATCTTGTTTACTTCATAACACATTCTTGCAACTCATGTGCTGTTTTGTAATTTCATCGGGCTGTTTTTAAAGTAGCTTTCATATGAATATGTTTGAACCGATCCTCAATGTAGCATTTATTTTGCTGCACTAGTTTATATTCCATAAGGGGGAATAGGGCTTTGGTAGGCGAGGCTATTTATAGTCCTTGTTTTCACACAAACGTCTACAGAGGCACCAATGAAAGCGT